CAGGTGAGCATTTTTTGAGGTCTGTGAACAGCCAGTAGTCGCATTGTGCATTTTAGTAATGAAGCAGCACTTTCTTTTTCTTCAAATGGGGTCGTTTTTCCGCAATTTCGGCCTTCAAACGCTCTAATAACGCTATATAATATTCACTGTTGATGGTATTTCCCTTGTCAACATAATCGATGAAAATTACACCACGCACATTCCAAAATACCTAGTCCATAACATTTTCAGCTGATTGTTGTTCTTTCGTGCACTTTGCACGAGGTTCACCAGTTGCTCTCCACTCAGATGACGTTCGTTTTGATTCCGGAGTGAAATGATGAATCTATGTTTCATCCATTGTTACATATCGACGCAAAAATTCCGTTTTTTTTTGTTTTAACATGGACAAACACTGCTCAGAATCATCAAGACGTTCTTGCTTTTATCAACAGTGAGCTCGCGCGGCACCCACTTTGAACAGAGCTTTCTTATAGCCAAATTATCTTGCAATATGAAGCCAACACGTTGTTTTGATATCTTTACATAGTCAGCTTACTCACGCAACTTCACTTTTAAATCGTTCAAAACCATTTTGTGTATTTTTTTCAAAATGTATTCTGGTGGTACATTTCGACAATGTATACTGTCATCCTCAGGGAAAAATTCAATAATAGAACATTAGACTAATTGATATTGTACAGTTGGAAATTATGTACTTACATTGTCATTGAGGTTGGACTCAGTGATGTTTAAAATAATTTTTGTTATTATTTGATTTTAATGTTGAACTTAGATTTGAGAAATGGGAAAACATTGAAATTAGTTTGGATAGTGATTCATGAACGTCAAATTTGGTAAAATTATTGTGAATCTAATGAATAAATTCCTTTTTTTTATCCTAAAATTCTGATTTTGTACCAGGCCGGTACATGTGATCACAAAATAGATGATAATACTAATTTTGAATGAAAATGGAAAGAAGAAATAAATGACATGACAGTTCAGAAAACAATTACATTGTTGGATTCAGTATTGCCAAACTTTCATCCTATACAGGAATGCCAATTTGATTTTGATTATTTTATGTACTATACCTACTCTAATAAAGTTGAATTTTTGAAATTATGATTTTTTTTTTCAATTTGTAGTAAAAGAGAGAAAATTTCACTTAGGTGATTTAGATCAGTTTTTTTTATTTAAGCAATGACTGGATTGTGATATGAAGGTCATTTCAAGAAAAAGTCTCTTTGTAAGGTTAGATTCTTTTGATAAAATTTTTACATTATTATAGTTCATATTATGCCCTGTTTGATTAATATGTTCGCCTAAGGCACATCTATGTGAGGCTAATCTGCTATTGCTTTTATGTGACAATTTTGACAAGGGATAAAATATATAACATTTGATTGATGAGTAAGAGGTGTTTTGTCTTTTATTTTGGTAAAGATAGAAGAATTAATGGATAGAGCGGTTTTATAGGCAAATTTAAAGTTATTATTATTAAATTTGTTGAAAATTCTTACCAGTTTAGGTGATACCTCTTTTATACAGGGTGTTCCTAAACATCGTGCACATACGAAAGGGGGTAGTTCTTTGGCTTATTTCATAACTAAAAGTTCATATAAACATAGGTCCGCAAACGCTTCGTTACCGATTTACAGGGTGTTGAAATTACAAGATTTTTCTTGTTATTTCTTTGGAGCTCCTGCAGTTTTTGAGATATTGAGCTCAAATTTGGAATCTAGATTGCGTTATAGGGCATACATTAGTGGGTTTTGTCAGATGGTTGTTGATTCTACAAGGTGATATTTTTTCAGGAGTCATGTTCCATTTTCTCCCCCTGAACTTTTTTACTGTGCGCCGCTGGTAGATTCTAAAATACAAAATGAATTTTCCGTTTTATTTGGAAACTTTTTTTGTTTAGAAACTCTTTTCGTTTCTGCGACCGTTATCGAGAAAAAAATTAAAGATTTTTTGTAGAAATGATTTATTTTACAATACAAAAACCTAAATAATAACAATTAAACTGCATTATAACAAATGTTGAAAGTGACCCCCTCCTACCCTTATACATGCGTCCGCTCTTCTTCTCATTGATGCCCGTACTCTTGCGAAGACTCCCGGAGTATTTCTTACAGTTTCAAATGCATTTATTATCCGATTTCGTAAGTCATCCACGTTATTCACTGGTGTTGTATACACTAGAGATTTGAGATATCCCCATAGGAAAAAATCTANTTAATTTTATGACTCTTTAGCCAATCATAAAACTCGGTTAGTAAAAATTATCCAATACGAACCGCCAATTCTTCAGTCCACGTGACTAATTTGTTGCGGCATAATTCCTTTGTATTGGTTTTTTTGGCTTTTGACTTCCCCGACACCTTTAAGATTACTATATCAGTTACTTCGACTATACAATAACTTACAAAATTAAGAGTAGAATATCATGAAATTTCAACAGCTTTCTTTTGAAGGTTAGAACTAACTGAAAAAGCAGTGAATGCAATATAGCGCCATCTATGTAGTAGGCCCGAGACTTTTCAGCTTATGTAGTAAATAACACTGTGATGCTATTATAATTCGAAGTATTTCGTCCCTCTTTTTTATTGTGGTGCTATAATGAACCCTGTCCAATCTTGTAGGCCTATTAACAAACTTGTATCAATTTATTTCCCTATCATTTATTGATAATATCAATAAATTTATTATTTTCATTGAAAAAATTCGCCTTTTTGGTCGTCAGAATTTGTGGGTCTTTTGTTTCATCTGCAGTATTACTTTGCTCTATAATAATATTCTTTGTGCCATTTGTTCTGTGAATATGTACGATGTATAATGTTTGTCATCAGCAATAATTCCCGAATTGTCTGTTTTGCTAATCTTTTCGGATAAATTTAATTAATTCGTATAAAGGTTGTAGAGTTGATTTGAAGAGAATTATTATTGTAGTACTCCGGAAACAATTCCATTCCAATCATTCAGACTGTTTATTATTTAGAAGACACTAATTTAAAGGGGTATAAATGACTGCCCTGAAACACTCCTGAAGGTCTTGGGGAAGGACCTTGTTACTAATTCCGGTGAGATTACTTTTTGTTTCATTTCTGTAATAAAATTCACCTCGGAATATTCAGGTATGATTGAATTTTCTGAACATTTCCATCAGAGCAAAGTGATATACATTTTCCTGAATTATACAGGGTGTAACTAAATAAGTGTAAAACATTTAAGGAGGTGTTTCGCCATCGAAAAAAAGATAGGATCTTTCATATAAAAAAAATTTCAATGGAGCATCCCTTGTTAAGATACAGCCCCTTAAAGGGGGTACATAAAATTTTTATAACAATTTTTTTCACAAGCACTGAAAAAGTTACAATGTTGGAATTAACCTGACGTTTTTAGAAGAAATTGTGACTTTCTGAAGACGATAGAATTCACAGACGAATGTAGTTTTTCTCGGGACAAGATTATTAATTTTCATATGGGCTGATGAAAACCCTCACGCTATTGTCGAAACTAACCATCAAGAACAGTTTTCTCTCAACGTGTGGCTCGGAGTTATTCATATATTGCCAAATGTCACATTCTGTATATTTTCGAAAAATAACTTATGTTCAAAATACACAATCGTCTTTTTAGAGTTTTGTTTCGATAGTGTATACTAGCAAATTTTTTAAATAAACGTATAACGATTCGAAACAATTCAATTTTCATAAGTATTTTTTTGACTTGAAGAGAAAAATATTCTGCGCAGTATTGTTGAAGTTCGATGTAGATATTCCTTTTACCGAGACCGAAAGTCTCATTTTTTATCCTTGAGAAAGAAGGATTAGGATTGAACTTGAATACACTAATGAAAGTAATACATCTCTATTTGAGGAAGATAAGAAAAAAATCAAAATGTGTGAAATGAATCTTTAGAAGTAAATGGTTAATGAAATTAATTTCCCGGTTACTGGGGAAGGATGTCATAATTAAAAAATGTTTTGTACAAACCGCCATACCAAATTACTACTTAAATGAAGATCACGACAATAGTTCTGACTAAATAAAAGCAAATATGGAAGGAATGTAGAAAATGTGTTTTGGCTGAACTTTTGTTTTTTGAACACGCTGTTTATATGAAAATAGTCTGAAGAAATATTTGTTAAATAATTATTGGAATATACAGTTACCACACGTCCTGCCAAAAGCCAGAAAACTTTCATTTCGAAGATCGGTTCAAATTAGCGAAATATAAAAAGTATTCAATTCAATTATTTCTTAATCTGTATAATTTGAACGCTAAGAGGGAACAATTCAAAATCAGCAATGCGTTCAAAATTATAATCTTGGTGATTACTTAGTCACGCTAGGGGTAATATAAAATTATTTTTTGTTGGCTTAACTTGACAAGACATTGACGTTTTTATCATGTTTCAATTCGGGCTATTGTAAGGAGTGGGTAGAAATCCTACGTTGTGGGCTAATTACTCGACTGAATATCCGTAATTATTTATTAATGAAATTGAATGAAAAATACCTTAGATCTATACAAACCATTCTTTAGCTGATCTCATTCGGAAACGATAAGACCTAAAAGGTCGGTTAAATTGGACAAAAGTTTTCTATTTTGGGGAACTAGAATAATCTCTTTTCAGATCGAGAATATATGTGGTTGTTTTTGACATATTCGTCAAAAACTAAAATTGACAAATTTCGTTTTTTGGTCAAACCACCTCCATTTCGAATGATACAAAAAAGACATAGGAACTTTCAATATTGTTTCATAGTTGTTATCATCTGGTATAAACCAATTTGCAATGCAACGTTTCATTCACTAGATTTCATCATCAACCTATCCCCATTATCATTATCCTTCATTAGCCTATTGCACAATTTTTGCACCTCGTTTGAATCGAATATTTGGATGAATATTTTTTTTAACCATATGTAGTGCCGATATAAAAAGTGGAATATTTTCTGATGAAGGGCGAATATTTCTTTTTTATGTACATATTCAAAAATTAACTTACCCTAAAATGACTAATTCACCATATTTCACTTGTTGTTTTGGCTTTTCCGAATTGGCACTTTCCTGTTCTTCAAGAATTGGAGATTCGGTGCCATCCGATCTGAAACAAAAATAAACCTGATATCATCTGCTTCAAAAATGTATTATTAAAACTTAACCAAAATTCTGACTTTCATTTTAGCAGTAAGTTCCAAAAAGTGACAGATTCAATAATATTTGAACAAATACTCAACAACACCTCATTTCAAATCGTTTTTTACAAAAAAAATGGATTCATCATTATTTTTTCTAAACTTGCCTCCAAACTTAAATACAGATACAAAGATGTAGATATTCAATTGAACCTCTAGCAAAAATTAATGAAAAACTCCCTGCTTTGTATGAAATTTTCTCTTTAGAGTGTTATTCAATTAAAATGTTTTACCAACTGAGATCATTATGTGTGGGTTTGTGTTTCTCTGTTAACCATGCACCCTTGCAAAACTTCAGAATTCGAAACTTGTATGTGGTAAGGATTAATGAGATCTTCCTTTTTAACGTGCGGCGATTTATAACACAAGAATGGTATGGGATATATAATTATGTGGAAGAGCAACCCAATTGAACATCACTTTATTATTAGAACAGAGTTGGTGTCTACACTTGTTGTTTGAAATATTATTGCAGTTTAGACAGCGAACCCCACTTTTAATGGAATCACCCTCATATCTATGTTGTATCTGGCAACTTTGGAGAGTTGGTGGACATTCCAAAAATACTACAATTTCATCAATGAAATAAATAATGAATTCACTGGGATTTATATATATTAAAAAGATTTCTCGAATCTGCAAAACTAATTGTTGGAGGAAGAGTTCATACGTGTTTTCTTATATGCAGTGTATATGTATGAATTTTATAACTCTTTAGGTGCGTATTCACCAAAAAAGCGAGAACGAGCGAACAAGAGTGAACGAGCATTCTGCATCAATAATCGTCTGGTGAGTACGGGCTAGCGAGCGAGCGAATGTATGCTAGTTCGCGTTCAGAAAAGATCGAGAAGGCGATACATCAAAGAAAATACTTGTTCGCGGTCGTTTAGTGTGAACAGCGACCTACACTATTTTTTTTCTGAAAAGTTTATTTCTCATTTATCTGACAATGAAGAAAAAATTTAATTCTGTGTTGTCTCTTGAACAGACGAAGATCTCGTTGAAAATGCGATGTTTAATATACCCGATTTCAAAGTTGATAAAACTGAATAATCGTGTCACTTATTATTTGTTTAGAACCCACACGCAAACATATAATTGGTAACAGCGATAGGACGTAATACTCAGAGCAGAGTTGGGTAGTATCCGAATACTTCTGCATTCGGATACAGTATCCGGATACTTTATATGTATTCGAAAGCTGTATTCGGATATTTTTCAAATTTTGTATTCAGTATCCGTATCCGTGGCCAAATTTGTAAGTATCCGAATACCGAATACATTTTTTGTTGGTCGGTGGTTCAAGCCCTAGTCTGAACGATCGATCTTCACTTGCTATCGTCCAACCCGTGTTAGGAATCACACGTTAAAAGGCAAGACCTTGTGCGAGCAAGAGCTCGCACAAGTTTCGACTTCTGAGGGTTGTCGTTCGTAGGGGTGCGACAGCTGGTTAACGAAAAACAGATTTTAAACAGATTTTTTAAACAGTTTACGGGGTTGGGACACCCAAACTCGAAGTTCAGCATCCTCGAAAACGAGGTGAGATAACATTTTATAGAAAAAAGTTGTTCATTTTGAGGAGATCCACCACATACTTAGTTTCTGTAATGTTGTCAGCAACTTCACTTAGCGCCCTAGGAGCTAAGTAATATGCATCGATATAGATAATTGTAAATATATCGAAAACGATCACCTCCAGCGTTGTTGAAGAAGTGTACCTTTTTTACTCGGAAAAGGTGTGACAGTTAGGTTTTTTCATGAAAAGTACCAAAGGTTTACTATCAAAAAAGTTAGGGCAATTTGAAATAAATGACAGCATACGCATACGAAATTATGATTTCCCACGTCAAAAAAAAACTGGTTACCAAATTTCGTGCAAATGACTTATTTTTTGCAAAAATATATCATAAAAACGAACAAGAAAAATCAATTTCAACACCGAAACGAAGCATTTCCGGACAAAAGTTTATATAAACTTTTTTCTTGAAATTGTCTCAGGAATACGTCACTTGAATATTTTAACGTACTTATTTTACCCCCTGTATAATTATTATTTAGAAGTTATATCAATAGATAGATTATTCTTATAAAAACAGTAAAGAATCCTCAAAGGTGTAATGTATGTTCGATATAAAGTATTTCATAGAGAAATAGTATTTCGTTATTATTTTATAATTCTGCTCTCCAAAAAGTTCAACAGTTACTCAATATGAGAGGATACAACAGTAATTTTGGTAACGGAAGCAGGACAATAAACCTCAAAAGAGGCTCGCTTGAGAATAATAACAGAAGCTGATATACTCTGTATAAATTACATCTTTGGAGTTTTCTCATAATTGTTATTTATCAATTTATCATTGTATTTTTGTTAATTAAGGCAGTATTTCATAGGAAATTATTATTATTATCATTATTAGAATATATACAAAAAACTCTAGAATGGGCGTAAAAATATTCAAACTCATTTTATGTGACTTTCCAATGACTCAGTACTTAAAAAATATATCCTTAGATACTTTTGATATATGAATATAATGCAATTCCAAGAAATCAAAAAGTTCCCAGCTCGATTAAATTTTCGTTCCATCAGAACAATTGAGAATTCGTTTTTACCTATATAGTGATAATTTATCTGAATAAGGTGACTGGCGTAAATCCAAAACAAATATTTGCACACACCTAGAACGTCATTACTGTTTCAAAATATTTCCATGTTACAATACATTTCCCACAAACAATATGTCACCCCTGTTAAGATTGCAGAACCATTTTGAATTTTTATATTTATTTTTTGGCCATAATATTCCGAAATGTTTTTGCTTTTCATTTAACGGAGATATCGAAATAAGAACGGAATGATTTTTTTTGCGGAAATCTTTCGTGGAAAATGTTATTACATTACGCATTCATTCCCAAATATTGGGGAACAATGAGCCTTGCAAAGTTTGACATTACAGATCTGCTGAGTTGGAGGATCTTCAAGACCATTTCCGAAATTTTCCCTGGCTAGATGTTTGTTTCAGCTCTAATGATCCATCAACTCGTGCTTTTGAAGTCACGGAAGTTCATCATCTATGGATGCATATATTCCTTTTTCAATGAAACGAACTTCTAAGAGCAAATCTTGTTTCAACAAAGATTGCGAGAAAGCTGTCGCCTCCAAAAATCTCGCCTACTGGCAGTGGCGCAAAAATTCCAGTTCCGAGAAACGAACCGAATAAATGAAAGCAAAGAACTTCACAATCATAGAATTGGGGATAAACTGTTTTCGAATCCTAACGGGTCTAGATCCTTCTGGTTGGTAGCTAAAGCTGTTAATCAAAACTTTACAAATTCCACAATTCCACTACTAACACAAGCGGATGGATCAATTGCAACAACAGCCAGACAAAAATAATCTACTAGCTGAAAAATTTACTTCCCACTACGTAGTCGATTTTTTGGGAAAGACACTATTCCCACACTACAATCCACAATACAGGAAATTACTTTTCGACAACGTCTAGTCAGACGAATTTTGAAATAGCTCAATATCAAGGCGTCTGGTCCGTCATCGTACTTAAAAAGTGCGCAAATGAACTCGCAGAAGTATTTTACAGACTTTTTCAACCTGTCTGATAAGAAAGGCGTTTTTCCTTCTTGTTGGAAGATTGTTCGCGTTCAGCCTATTGCCCAAAAGGGTAAGAAAAGTCTTTCAAATAACTATAGACTAGTCGCTTTGCTATCAGCGAGATCAAAAATCATGGAGAAATCCGTAAATCACCATATCCTTAAATATTTGGAAGATTTTAACATTTTGAGAGATCATCAATATAGCTTTCGTATGTCATCCATATTTGGAATAACGCAATCGAGAGTCAAGATGTTACGCTTGATATTTCTAAGGCATATCTTATTGAGGATCTAGAAGTGATTTTGAATTGGGGAAAAAATAACCAGGTTCAATTCAATGCCACAAAAACCCAAGCATCTGATTTCTCCAAAAAGATAAATGTCTCCGAACCGGATATAACAATGTCAGGACAGACAATTCCGCTTTCTGTTTCAATAAGTTTGTTGGGGGTTAAAATTGACACCAATATGTTTTGGCACAATCATGTCGCTGAATTCGTGAAGGCTGCTTCTCAAAAGCTTGGAACACCGTTCCAAACCAGAAAACTGTACACACAACAGCAACTTTTGTACTTTATAAAGCTCAGACTAGAGCTTCTTTGGAGTATTGTTGTCATGTATGGAGCTCCGCCCCCAAGCATACACTGAAGTTGCTGGATCCCATCCAGAAAAGAGCCTTTAGCCTGATTGGAGACGCGAACATCACTTGCAACCTTGATAGTCTGGAACATCGAAGACAAGTTGGGGATTTGTCTCTCTTCTATAGATACTTTCACGGAAAGTGTTCAAGTGACTTGGCACATTTGATTCCACCAAGAGCGGTACATATCAGAAATACGTGATGGACTGTGGCTTCTCATCGTTTTGAGGTACAATTAGGTACACCTCGAACTTCACTGTTTAATAACTGTTTCATTTGGAGAATGTGGAATGAACTCCCTGAGAATCGCCAGCGATTCAAATCCAATGTGAGTCGCTACTTTCTCATAGTCACCACTCTTAGAGTGCCTTAAAGATTTTCATGTAGTGCTTGGTATTTGAATTTTTGAATATATAACACATTTCTAAGAAAGTTCTTTTTCGAATATTATTTTTTGAATCTAAAATTTCAACATTATCAAATTTTCTTTCGACCGATGTATGAGTCGGTGGTTCAAGCCCCAGGCTGAACGATCGATTTTCACTTGCTGTCGTCCAACCCCTGTTAGGAATCACACGTTAAAAGTTTCGACTTCTGAGGATTGTCGTTCGTAGGGGGTGCGACAGCTGGTTAACGGAAAAACATATTTCAACATATATTTCAACATATAACATATAACTTTTATTAACGCAATAAAACCCATAAACATGATTGTCAGAATGTTTGTCTGTTTGTGTTATCCCAAAAACGGCTAACTCGTTTTAGGAGCGGTTTCTAATAATGTATTGTGGTAAGCGTCACTTAACATTAAGTGAAAAAATACTATAAATAGGCAAATTCATGAGAACTTTTTGCTATTAGAAAATCTGGGAAAAACTAAGTGAAGTCCACCCGAATGAAGTCTTGGAGATCAGCTTGTTCATAATAAAATTACTAAATACAATTGACTTTTACTTACATTCTCTGTTTTATGGTAGTGGCGTGAATTGTATTTAGCAATTTATTCTTATGCACATTCTGCGTACGCCATCTTTCATTTCGAAAATTGCCATCCTTCGCGTATCCTCGTGAAGCGAGTCAATATTTCAAGTTAGTTCACTTCTAATTACCTGAGAGTCACACCTCTAGTTATACTCAATAAACACAAACAACGCATTTTCAAGATACATCACATCGCAGTGAAATGTTTTCCACAAACTGGCAGACGAGACGTTCGTATTTTTTCCAACAAAATGCTAATAATAAACGACAACAACCTCCGTAACTATCTTGTTTTGCGCGAACTGCACGGTTTATCGCAATAATAACGCACAAAGCGAAACAAAGATAGATAAATACCTAACTTTGGCGTCGCAAAAACTGACTTTTGCAATAAAGGCAGAAGGCGGAATTGATTGGGATCTACGTGGGTTCATAGGTAAATTGGAACATCATTTCGGACAATAGGATTCCCACTCGATTTGCCTTTGAAATTCATTATTCAAATTCAAAGGATCATTTACATAAATACCAAAATTGTTGTGAACTTTAGTATGCTTTACTTGTACTTAAATGTTGAGTAATGGAAACAATAAGGATACGTTATTTTTTCAACAAAAAAGTTTTGCTGGTCCGGACTCCACACAGTGAGGTAAGTGATCATTGCGTCCGAGAATCGTATGTTCTGAGAAGACGTATTGAACCAGGAATGACGTACTTTTGCATTTGTTCGACGGAGATTGCTGCTGTTTTGAGAAGAGCCGATATGAGAAAGTAGTGGAGGAATCCAACAGGACTTCTATAAGCAACATTTCCACATAATGGTCTGAGAAGAGTCTACTTAGTTCGAAATGTCGAGATACACCATTTCATTCGCTGATCCTCCTTTTTTTGTGTCAACATCAAGCTTATTATTTTGTAGCTGCCTGAGGGTGGCGAAAGATTAGTTCCTGTGAATTTGGCAACTCTCATTCTCCATATGGATTAAATTTTCCGCCAACTGCAAAAAAATAATACTGTCTCGTCAATACCATGGGGGTGCCAATGATGGTAATATAGCACTCGTAATCTGACACAAACGAAAGTCAGGATAACTTGGATTTCAAAAATTTTACACTCTCATCAATCGTAACCAAATTTTTTCCAGACAAAAATGTTTCATTTAAAAAATATATTACTCTTCAGATATTTGTGGAAATAGATTAGGTAAGGTAATGTAATAATGGTGTCTCGTTAATACCGTGGGGGTGCCAATGTATAGCACTCGTAATGCTTCGTTGAATCGATTGTTATAGGGTGCTTCCACATATGCTGGGCATGCTGAATGCAAATGCATTACCCATCACTCGAATGTGACTGACCAAGATGTTAAAGACAATGATACTAAAGGTTTGCGATTTCAGCCTACTCAATCTGGCGCAAACGAAAGTCACGATAAGTTGGATTTCAAAAATTTTACACTCTTCAATCGTAATTACAGTTTCGGCTTCTGCTTTGAAGCCATTTTCAAGAACCACTTGAAAATGAAGTTCCACGACTCGACGACGAGATCGTTAGCTACCTGATCCCCAGGTCTGTCATTAGCTTTGTTCTTTCTTTGTTCAGTCCGCAACTTTATAATCTATTTCCACAACTACCTGAAGAGTAATACATTTTTGATATGAAAAATTGCGTCATTTTCATCTTGGTATTTATTAATCATATGATATTTTTTTGTCTGGAGAAAAAGTAATTACAATGTGTGAAGATTTAGTTACGATTGAAGAGAGTGTAAAATTTTTGAAATTCAACTTACCCTGACTTTCGTTTGCGTCAGATCGAGTAGGCTGAAATAGCAAACTTTTAGTATCATTGTCTTTCACATCTTGTTCTCCCACAGTCGAGTGACGGGTAATGCATTTGCAATCAGCATGCCCAGCATATGTAGAAGCAGCCTATAACAATCGATTCAACGAAGCATTACGAGTGCTATACATTGGCACCCCCACGGTATTGACGAGACACTATTATTACCTTACAGTCGGCGGAATATTCAAATATTCCAACGTTACTCCCACTGCCAATAAATATAAGTATGTCATTGCAACATTGCAGAAGAGCAACGATCACAGACAAATTGTCAATATTGGACCGAAATATCGCTTCGAAGCACATACATATGAAAATAAATTGGTTCGATTGATTTGATCAGAAATTTTTCCCAATGAAAATTTACTACCTGAACCACATAATACAGAGATTATTTAAAAAAAATAATTTAACAATCCAGCTAACGAAGGAATAATTTTTGATCTGACATTTGTTTTTGAGAGATTCGTGGGAGATTAAACTTCTAATTGGTTGGTTATCAAGATAATGCAGTTCATCGAGGCAACCTAGGAAAACAAATAGGTCACCAACATTTGAGAGGTGGGGTAGCTTACCGACACCAGGAAAACTACCAGCTTTCACATTTACTATTGACGTAGCAATTAGCGGGCAAAGATTCCTTTCAACTGATTCTGCTTGAAATAAATTCAGGCAGGAATGTTTTTCGGGATTACAAAACAGAAGATTCATATATTCACTTATTGCATTTTTAGGTGTCAATTGCAAAAATCGTAAATAGTTGATTAAAATTCGACGGATGCGCCGACTGGGAATGTAGTCCACGATACGCAAATGATATAATATCTTGTGAGGAGGAAAGCGAAATAATTGTAAAAGTTGTGTGTGAACTGTTGAATGACTTCATTTAATTTTTTTTTCCGAAGAATTGACAAATACTTCAAAATTCTTGAATAATTGATACCACTGGCAACTTTTTAATATCAGTGCCTGAATTCTAGTCGGTTGAAATTCGCCCGCAACTATATATTTGTGCTTCTGTTTCAAGTTACAGAAGAATAATTGAGATATGGATAATTTGATAAATCAATTCACAGTTTGAAAAATTTCAAATCAATTTTTTTGAGGATTCTAATCTGCATATTATTTCATTTTTGTGTCATATAACGAAAGGCGTAATTGAACTGCTTCGTAAATATGTCCATGTCTAGCAATACGTTGATGCCACAGAAGTGACATCAACTATATTATACCCTTAACAATAGTGCTGATAAATGTACACTTAAACTTATCCTGCCTGAGAATTGAATGAGCTTATATGAATATGACGGGTCCAGGGGAAAAATGTTCTTGTCCATTTGTATATATTCTATGAAAACAGAAAAATGAAGTTTACTATAAAAAAATCTAGTGAAATTTGGGTTGTAAAATTTGTTGAAAACAACAACCATGTTCAAAAACTGTTTACTGCATAGTCTGTTATGGGAAAAATTGAAATTCTTACAAAACAATGTTTATTAAAAGTGAATTTCCAGAAATCCTCTGGACAACAACATATCTTCCCTAGTAGTTTGGTTCATCAGCGTCTATTGGCGGACCATTCTGATCATCTACGTCTGCTTGTAAGTTGCGGTAGAAATTTCTTGAATTCGCCCGTTGCAAAAGCTGCTTTAGGTGTTGCAGATCTCTGTATTTACCCAACTTGATTGCAATTGGGACAGAATACGAAGGGCTCAACGTCGTCGCTGCAGTGATTCATTTCTTCTTCTTAGTTTTTTACGTTTTCTTGAATAGAAGACTTAATGAACGCACCAAAATATGAGCTCTTGTGCATTATGAACATTGGTTGGTCTTTGAAAATTTTGACCACTCTGATAGTTCTCGTTCGCATGGGCCATGTTTTTCTGTACATTCCGGATAGGTACTGTGTCAATATTTGAAACTGTACATCTTCTCCACACTTAACGATGATGAGAGGTGCTCTGCTATTTATTAACACTTCACGCCAATTATCGGGTCAACACTGTGTACCATTTAGGGAGAAACCTTGCATCGTGGACACCATTATTTAGGTGATCTGAACGATTCTTCCCCTGAAACGAATATGCGATCTAAAGTTCAACTGAAATCCGACAAATAATGGACATAAACGTTTTTCTCCTGGTCCATTATCATAATAATACGGGTTATTTGAAGCAATAAAGAAAAAACCAAGTGAAACTCATCTCCACCATCTAAAGTTATCTTTTCTTTCTATAAATTTCAGAAAATCAGAAAATAATTTGAAAAATCAAAACAACTATTCACAATTACCATTCGGAGTGATTCTAATCCGTAAGATAAATGTTCTGGTTTCATATTTATGATTATTAGAAACGTTTATGTTTTCCAGTATGATCCATTGGGGATTAATCGAAATCAAAATTTGCCTCGTAAATTCTATTTGTTCTTCTCTTCTCAATTTTGTTCTGCGAAAAAACGGTCAATTTCTGTTCTGGTTCAACAAGCAACTCCGTACTGTCCAGGAATGTCAGGGATTCTTGAGAGAGAAAACCTGAAATTCGCTTACCTATGACTATGTGGATACGCTAATTTGAAAACTGGCGGGTAAACTAGATCGATTTGATCATTTAGAAGATTAAATCCGCAATGCTTATGTTCATGAATTTCCAAGGATTTCAAATAATTGAGTTTTCAGCTCTTGCTTGCATATAGTGCAAAATTTCCGTATCGTTTAGATTCGGGAACTTGTAGTTGCATTCCAAGGAATGGTTTGAAAACGTCAAATCAACTCCAGATTTCGCCATCTTGTCCACTTCATCTTTGGCATTGGCATTGGCAATTAAACAATCGCTCTGTTCGTAAGTATTCTTATAGGAAATGAAGTGTTTAATGTTTGTTGTTATAAAGTTGCTTGAATGAAGTTGCCATTATGAGGCTGGCATAAAGAGTTTTCGATTTGTAGTCTGTTCAATAAATTTTTACTGATCGGGTCATCAAGGGATGGGTCAAGTTTCCACAAATAGGTGAATACTGGATACTATTTGATTCCATAATTTTCACTGTTCATTCTTGTGTATGATAACGATGTAGGAAATATATTACTAACGTTAACAAAATGATAATAACTATGAAGAATACAAAAATCAAAAACTGAATTGTGATCTACCTATCCTCAGTTTCCATTATACTAGATTCAACTACTGTCCAATGATTCAGTTAACGATTCCAAGATTCAAAATACCTACCAACTACCACACTTCCCTCGTACATCAGTGAAAAACAACGCATTCAATTCATTAGGCACTTCACCTCTCGTTCTCTTGCAACGTAGAAATGCGAACGGTTGAATGACTTATCTGAACCTGCAACGAGACGGCCAGACTCGCAGGATCCGCTTTTTCCTTCTAATTTTTTTGCGTCTCGTTATTAATGCAA